GAGTCATCTCGAAAATAATCGAATGCAAGACGGAAAACCCAACAATATTCGCCTGGGAAATCAGAAAAAAGCTCGCGGCCGAAAGAATCTGTAAGTCGGCCAAAGTTCCCAGTGTAAGTGAAATCACAAGCTACACCAGAATGATACAACGTGTGTACAACTGGGAGGGAAATAGTTATATTTTTCTATTAATTTAAGAATGATTTAATCCTTGTCAAAAGGTGTCCTCTGTAAACCGAATTCTCAGGAAGATTCAACTCGACTCTGCGATGTTGAGAGTGGAGATTTCTACGCACCACCCCAGATACCCAGGTAGGCTACACATCCTAAATCTTGAACTGGGAGAAATACACACATTTAGGCCACATACACTGTGCACAATTTGAAAAACATAGCCATATAGCCTACTTGTATGCATTCCAGGTCTTCCAGTGGAGACCCCAACGCAGTTAGTAGTGAAGGAGAGGGAGGAGATGGAGACAGTTGAGGTGAAGGAGCCTCCAGGGCCCCAGCATCGCAACCGCACCACCTTCACCCTGGAGCAGTGCAGAGTATTAGAGCAAGGTAGGCCTATACAGTAGTCCACTTTAGACAGAACAATGTCCTACCTTTACTTCGACAACTGTTTAGGTCCATTTAGGCTATGTATTTATAAATGTGGAGTGGATGCACGAAAGATTAGGCTACAACGACTTAGTTTGATTAGACTTTATTCCTATTTCACCAAGGCTTGTTTTAGAGCAGTTGGAAAATCTGTTATCATTTCAAGCTGAGCTTTGAATGCTCTTTCATCAATTTTTTCCCTCCCAAACTGAACAGAATTCACACGGAGCCACTACGCAGACATGTTCACCAGGGAAAAACTGGCATCTGAGATCCAACTTCCAGAGGACACCATCAAGGTAACATGGCACAAACTATGCATACAACCTATGTAATTTCCTGTAAAATTACCTGTAATACTGAGCTACATCTGTTATAATTGCCATTCCCCTTTGAAGGTGTGGTTCTCAAACCGAAGGGCAAAATGGAGGCGGGAAGCCAAGCATAAGAGCAGTGTCCATGGAGCACATAGTGAGTGTGTGTATTTGTATTTATTAAGGATCCCCATTAGCTGCTGCCAAGGCAACAGTTACTCTTCCTGGGGTCCAGCAACATTAAGGCAGTTATATACAATTAAAAATATTACATTACATGTAATAACACTTTTCACAACACATTAAGTGTGTTCCCTCAAGCCACTACTCTACTACCACATATCTACAATACAAAATCCATGTGTACGTGTGTGTAGAGTGCGCGTCTTATCATGTGTATGTGTGTCTGTGCCTGTGTGTGTGTCTCTTCACAGTCCCCACTGTTCCATAAGGTGTATTATTATTGTTTTAAAAAAATCTGATTCTACTGCTTGCATCAGTTACCTGATGTGGAATAGAGTTCCATGTAGCCATGGCTCTATGTAGTACTGTGCGCCTCCCATAGTCTGTTCTGGACTTGGGGATTGTGAAGAGACCTATGGTGGCATGTCTTGTGGGGTATGAATGGGTGTCCGAGCTGTGTGCTAGTAGTTTAAACAGACACCTCGGTGCATTCAGCATGTCATACACTTCTTACAAAAACAAGTGGTGATGAAGTCAATCTCAATCAATCAATCAATCAATTTTATTTTATATAGCCCTTCTTACATCAGCTAATATCTCGAAGTGCTGTACAGAAACCCAGCCTAAAACCCCAAACAGCTAGTAATGCAGGTGTAGAAGCACGGTGGCTAGGAAAAAAATCTCTCCTCCACTTTTAACCATGTTATTATTAATGTTAGCTCTCCGTGTACATTTAAGGGACAGCCGTGTTCTGAGCCAATTGTAATTTTCCGAGGTCCCTCTTTGTGGCACATGACCACATGACTGAACAGTAGTCCAAGTGCGACAAAACTAGGGCCTGTAGGACCTGCCTTGTTGATAGTGTTGTTAAAAAGGCAGAGCAGCACTTTATTATGGATAGACTTCTCCCCATCTTAGCTACTGTTGTATCAACATGTTTTGACCATGACAGTTTCCAATCCAGGGTTACTCCAAGCAGTTTAGTCACCTCAACTTGCTCAATTTCCACATTCTAAATTACAATATTTAGTTGAGGTTTAGGGTTTAGTGAATGATTTGTCCCAAATACAATGCTTTTAGTTTTTGAAATACTTAGGACTAACTTATTCCTTGCCACCTATTCTGAAACGAACTACATCTCTTTGTTAAGTGTTGCAGTGATTTCACTCACTGTAGTAGCTGACGTGTGTAGTGTTGAGTTATCTGCATACATAGGCTTTACTCAAAGCCAGTGGCATGTCATTAGTAAAGATTGAAAAAAGGAAGGGGCCTGAACAGCTGCCCTGGGGAATTCCTGATTCTACCTGGATTATGTTGGAGACACTTTCATTAAAGAACACCCTCTGTGTTCTGTTAGACAGGTAACTCTTTATCCACAATATAGCAGGGGTGTAAAGCCATAACACACGTTTTTCCATCAGCAGACTATGATCGATAACGTCAAAAGCCGCACTGAAGTCTAACAAAACAGGTCCCACAATCTTTTTATCATCAATTTCTCTCAGCCAATCATCAGTCATTTATGTAAGTGCTTGTCAAATGTCCTTCCCTATAAGCATGCTGAAAGTCTGTTGTCAATTTGTTTACAGTAAAATAGCTTTGAATCTGGTCAAACACAATAAAAAAAAAAAAGTTTGCTAAGGGTTGGTAACAGGTTGATTGTTCGGCTATTTGAGCCAGTAAAGAGGGCTTTACTCTTCTTAGGTAGCGGAATGACTTTAGCTTCCCTACAGGCCTGACGGCACACACTTTCTAGTAGGCTTAGATTGAAGATATGGCAAATAGGAGTGGCAATATCATCCGCTATTATCCTCAGTAATTTTCCATCCAAGTTGTTAGACCCCGGTGGCTTGTCATTGTTGATAGACAACAATACTTTTTTCACCTCTTCCACACCCACTTTACGGAATTGAAAATTACAAAGCTTGTCTTTCATAATTTATACTTGGATGTGTAGTATCAGTGTTTGTTGCTGGAATGTCATGCCTAAGTTTGCTAATCTTGCCAATGAAAAAATCATTAAAGTAATTGACAATATCAGTGGGTTTTGTGATGAATGAGCCATCTGATTCAATGAGTGATGGAGCGGAGTTTGCTTTTTTGGCCAAAATGTAATTTAAGGTGCTCCAAAGCTTTTTGCTATCATTCTTTATATAATTTATCTTTGTTTCATAGTGTAGTTTCTTCTTCTTTTTATTCTGTTTAGTCACATGATTTCTCAATTTTGTAGTACGTTTGCCAATCGGTTGTGCAGCCAGACTTATTTTGCATTCCTTTTGCCTCATTCATACAATTTTTCAATTCCTCATCAATTTAACAGTTTTTACAGTCATTTTCTTAATGGGTGCATGCTTATTAGTAACTGGAATAAGACATTTCATAAATGTGTCAAGTGCAGCGTCTGGTTGATCCTCATTACACACAACAGACCAACAAATATTATTTACATCAACAACATAGGAATCACTACAAAACCTATTATACACTATATTAGGCCCAGCCTTCGGAACTTTGGTTTTCCTAGATATGGCTACTATATTGTGATCTCTACATCTGATGGATTTGAATACTGCTTTAAAGCAAATTTCTGCAGCATTAGTAAAGATGTGATCAATAAATGTGATGATTTCATTCCTGTGCTGTTTGTAACTACCCTGGTAGGTTGACTGATAATCTGAACCAGGTTGCAGGCACTGGTTACAGTTTGAAGCTTTTTCAGTCAATATTTAAATAACCCAGAAAATATACCTCTCTGTTGATATCACATACATTGACAAGCATTTCACACATGTTATCCAGATACTGACTGTTAGCACTTGGTGGTCTATAGCATCTTGAGAGAGAGAAAGAAAGAAAGAAAGAAAGAAAGAAAGAAAGAAAGAAAGAAAGAAAGAAAGAAAGAAAGAAAGAAAGAAAGAAAGAAAGAAAGAAAGAAAGAAAGAAAGAAAGAAAGAAAGAAAGAAAGAATAACAGTTCACTTTTCTTTTTAAAGCTTCAATTCTGATGAACCAAAAGAACAAAGATTTCCCTTCAGTGAATTCGATGAGAACAACCAACTCAATGACTCAACAGGTACATAAACAAGCTAAGCCCCCTGACACCATGTTGTTATGAAAATTGAGTATATACCACTGCAATTGATACTATTCATGTGCAATTAAGTATTATTAACCTTGTAGCAAGTTACCAGCTGACTAACAAAATGCTATGTTTATCTTGTTTGTGGTGTCATTACAACTGTGTTTAGACACACTGGAGGCAGAGGGAGGGTTTGGGAGTACAGTTTGACACTTCATGCTCAGAAATCTCCCAGAGATATGGTCCAGCTACTACAATAGAGAGAGGTGATTAAGCTTTTATGATGGGTTTTTTTAAGAGTGGGGCAAAGCCCTTCTCCTGGAGAGCCACTTACCATGCAGGTTTTTGCTCCAGCCCTGCCCTAACACACTCAACTCCACAAATCAACTGCTCAGTTTCTCAAAGAGAACTTAGCTAAATCAGGTGTGTTAGAGCAGGGCCGAAGCAAAATCCTGCACATTCACTAGATCTCCAGGAGAATTGGCCAACCCTGCTTTAACCATTTCAGAGATGTACCTATAAAACACAATGTGAATAGTGAATGAATGTACTACCTCACCTACAGGTACAGGAGGAACAGAAGTGTTGGGCTACAGAGGTATCTCCATTCCTCTTCCATCCTCATCCTCTCAATACTCAGGCAGCACCACGTTCCCATTGGTCCATCCCCAGGACGAGAGGACTCCATTAGCTCACCATGCAGAGAGATTCACGTTCCCATTGGCTCATCATTACACAGACGTGAGGACAGTCTTCCCATTGGCTCATCAGACTGAGAGGATGGGACATACACTGAACTATCATTGGAATGAGGGGACAGATTTCCAATTGGCTCATCACCAAACAGATGAAAGGTTTCTATTGGCTCATCACAGGGAGAGGACTGGTGGTCCATCACTTATGGGACAGAATGTGTCTCCCCTTTTCTCGAATCAGTGAATGTCAGAGGCAAACATTTATACACACACACACAGCTCTATGGCTCTGCTGATTACTACTGGGCAGGGTATGCAACAGAATCAGCACAAAGACATTCCAATCGTGACTCAATGTGCATGTTTACAATTTTTTTATTGCAACATATCTCTGTGAAATTGATGAGTTTTTCTGTTTTTAAAAGTATTTTCAGTAATAAAAAAAGTATTTGTATTAGTTTTTATTAGTCCTATGTTGACATACCCCCTGAATTGTATCATGTCATAATCTCTGAAGATTTGAGTGACTACCATCTTTAGGCAGGAGAGGGCGACAGAGTCCTATGGATACATTATTTCTCTCACTGCCAGACAAGTTAATCAGCTTGTTTGAGGGATTCAGTTTGAGCGATCACAGAATAACTAATCTTGATCACATAATGCAAAGTTATTTTGGATGCAAGGTGCTTTGTAGATCAGTGATTCTGCGCAGCCTGACTGCAATGCAATCCATCTCCAACACACACAATCTCTCTGAGAGAAAGAGGAATGGTGACAGTGCAGTGGGGTATCTATTTTCTGTCAGTGCTCAGCATCTCCACCAGAAAGAGTCAATCAATCAATCACATTTTATTTATAAAGCCCTTTTTACATCAGCAGATGTCACAAAGTGCTATACAGAAACCCAGCCTAAAACCCCAAACAGCAAGCAATGCAGATGTAGAAGCATGGTGGCTAGGAAAAACTCCCTAGAAAGGCAGCAACCTAGGAAGAAACCTAGAGAGGAACCAGGCTCTGAGGGGTGGCCAGTCCCCTTCTGGCTGTGCCGGGTGGAGATTATAACAGTACATGGCCATTAAGGCCAGATTTTTCTCCAAGATGTTCAAATGTTCATAGATGACCAGCAGGGTCAAATAATAATCACAGTGGTTGTAGAGGTTGCAACAGGTCAGTACATCAGGAGTAAATGTGACTTGGGTTTTCATAGCCGGGCATTTAGAGGTTGACATAGCAGGTGCAGTAGAGAGAGAGAGTTGAAAACAGCAGGTCTGGGACAAGGTAGCACATACGGTGAACAGGTCAGGGTTCCAAGCTGCAGGCAGAAGAGTGGAAACTGGAGCAGCAGCACAACCAGGTGGACTGGGGACAGCAAGGAGTCATCAGGCCAGGTAGTCCTGAGGCATGGTCCTAGGGCTCAGGTCCTCCGGGATGGGAGGGAGAGAGGGAGAGAGAGAGAATTAGAGGGAGGATACTTAAATTCACACAGGACACCGGATAAGACAGGAGAATAACACCAGATAAAACAGACTGACCCTAGCCCACTGGCACATAGACTGTTGCAGCATAGATACTGGAGGCTGAGACAGGGGGGTCAGGAGACACTGTGGCCCTGGGGCCCAGACTAAGGTATCCCTGGTGCCCAGGCTAAGGTATCCCTGGGGTCCCAGACTTAGGTATCCCCGTGGCCCAGACTAAGGTATCCCTGGGGGCCCAGACTAAGGTATCTCTGGGGCCCAGGCTAACATATCCCTGGGGGCCCAGAATAAGGTATCTCTGGGGGCCCAGGCTAAGGTATCCCTGGGGCCCAGGCTAACATATCCCTGGGGCCCAGACTAACATATCCATGGGGGCCCAGACTATGGTATCCCTGGGGCCCAGACTAAGGTACAGTGAGGGAAAAAAGTATTTGATCCCCTGCTGATTTTGTACGTTTGCTCACTGACAAAGACATGATCAGTCTATAATTTTAATGGTAGGTTTATTTGAACAGTGAGAGACAGAATAACAACAAAACAATCCAGAAAAATGCATGTCAAAAATGTTATAAATTGATTAGCATTTTAATGAGGAAATAAGTATTTGTCCCCCTCTCAATCAGAAAGATTTCTGGCTCCCAGGTGTCTTTTTATACAGGTAACGAGCTGAGATTAGGAGCACACTCTTAAAGGGAGTGCTCCTAATCTCAGCTTGTTACCTGTATAAAAGACACCTGTCCACAGAAGCAATCAATCAATCAGATTTCAAATTCTCCATCATGGCCAAGACCAAAGAGCTCTCCAAGGATGTCAGGGACAAAATTGTAGACCTACACAAGGCTGTAATGGGCTACAAGACCATCGCCAAGCAGCTTGGTGAGAAGGTGACAACAGTTGGTGTGATTATTTGCAAATGGAAGAAACACAAAATAACTGTAAATCTCCCTTGGCCTGGGGCTCCATGCAAGATCTCACCTCGTGGAGTTGCAATGATCATGAGAACGGTAAGGAATCAGCCCAGAACTACACGGGAGGATCTTGTCAATGATCTCAAGGCAGCTGGGACCATAGTCACCAAGAAAACAATTGGTAACACACTACGCCGTGAAGGACTGAAATCCTGCCACGCCCGCAAGGTCCGCCTGCTCAAGAAAGCACATATACAGGGCCGTCTGAAGTTTGCCAATGAACATCTGATTGATTCAGAGGAGAACTGGGTGAAAGTGTTGTAGTCAGATGAGACCAAAATCGAGCTCTTTGGCATCAATTTAACTCGCCGTGTTTGGAGGAGGAGGAATGCTGCCTATGACCCCAAGAACACCATCCCCACCATCAAACATGGAGGGGGAAACATTATGCTTTGGGGGTGTTTTTCTGCTAAGGGGACAGGACAACTTCACCGCATCAAAGGGACGATGGACGGAGCCATGTAACGTCAAATCTTGGGTGAGAACCTCCTTCCCTCAGCCAGGGCATTGAAAATGGGTTGTGGATGAGTATTCCAGCATGACAATGACCCAAAACACACGTCCAAGGCAACAAAGGAGTGGCTCAAGAAGAAGCACATTAAGGTCCTGGAGTGGCCTAGCCAGTCTCCAGACCTTAACCCCATAGAAAATCTGTGGAGGGAGCCTCGAAACCTTAATGACTTGGAGAAGATCTGCAAAGAGGAGTGGGACAAAATCCCTCCTGAGATGTGTGCAAACCTGGTGGCCAACTACAAGAAACGTCTGACCTCTGTGATTGCCAACAAGGGTTTTGCCACCAAGTACTAAGTCACGTTTTGCAGAGGGGTCAAATACTTATTTCCCTCATTAAAATGCAAATCAATTTATAACATTTTTGACATGCATTTTTCTGGATTTTTTTGTTGTTATTCTGTCTCTCACTGTTCAAATAAACCTACCATTAAAATTATAGGCTAATCATATCTTTGTCAGTGGGCAAACGTACAAAATCAGCAGACTACGGTATCCCTGGGGGCCAAGACTACTGTATACCCTGGTGCCCCAGACTAAGGTATCCCCGGGGCCCAGACTAAGGTATACCCGGGGCCCAGACAAAGGTATACCCTGGGGCCCAGACTAAGGTTTCCCTGGGGGCCCAGACTAAGGTATACCTGGGGGCCAGACTACAGTATCCCTGGGGGCCAAGACTATGGTATACTCTGGGGCCCAGTCTACGGTATTCCATGGGGCTCAGACTAAGGTATACCATGTGACCCAGACTAAGGTACCCCTGGGGCCCAGACTAAGGTATCCCTGGGGGACAAGTCTATGGTATACCCTGGGGCCCAGATTACGGTATGAATGTCTGTTGCTTTGACTCAGTTGTTACAACAGTGATTATGCTAATCAAGGTCCTAGTGAGCAGCTAATTGGTAGAGTCAGGTGGGTTAAATTAGCATTGGAGCGAGAGTCTGAAGGAGGGTAGTTCTACAGGAGGAAGGTTGGGCACCTCTGCTGTACTGCATCCCCTCAACTGGAACCGTGAACCAAAATTAAATGGTCCAGAGGATGAGTTTCCCAAACACTCAAAGCCAAGAGACCTTTGTAGTTCCGTGACGTTTTCCTGTGGCTCTTTTTAAATGAATCTTTCCTCGATTACCCATACCCTGAATGAATTGCGGTTGAGTAGGCGAGGAAAGGCCTGAAGAATGGCAGAAAGACAAGCTGAGATAGAGCCATTAGCTCAGAGAGCGATCTAGGTTCAGTTTTTGAGATGGCCTTCTCTTGTTGGCTTTGGAAGGGAGCACGCATACTTCAGCACGGTGACTGAGCAGGATCAACACACAAACACAACACAGGGTCTGAGCATAACCTCCATAGCACTACTTATATATTTCTGAGGTCACTGCAACAAGCTTTTAAATGCCATAAATCATCATGGTTGATTGTTTGATTAAGGTTATTAGAAGAGGATGACATTGTCTTTACAATGTTGCTCTTGCTTTTCGGAATAGTTCAGCGCAAGGTTCACAAATTCCTTTTTCGAATGCTTTCCCACTAAGATTTTTCCAATGGGTTTTTTCCAGTGGTGGAAAAAGTACCCAATTGTCATACTTGAGTAAAAGTAAATATACCTTAATAGAAAATGACTCAAGTAAAAGTGAAAGTCACCCAGTAAAATACTACTTGAGTAAAAGTCTAAAAGTATTTAGTTTTAAATGTGCTTAAGTATCAAAAGTAAATGTAATTGCTAAAATATACTTATATATCAAAAGTAAAAGTAAAAGTATACATTATTTAAAATTCCTTATATTAAGCAAACCAGATGGCACCATTTTCTTGTGTTATAATTTTTTTATGGATAGCCAGGGGCACACTCCAATACTCAGACATAATTTACGAACAAAGCATGTGTGTTTAGTGAGTCTGCCAGATCAGAGGCAGTAGGAATGACCAGGGATGTTCTCTTGATAAGTGTGTGAATTTGACAATTTCCCTGTCCTGCTAAGCATGCAAAATGTAACGAGTACTTTTGGGTGTCAGGGAAAATGTATGGAGTAAAAAGTACATTATTTTCTTTAGGAATGTAGTGACGTAAAAGTAAAAGTAGCCAAAAATATAAATAGTAAAGTAAAGTACAGATACCGCAAAAAACTACTGAAGTAGTACTTTAAAGTATTTTTACTTAAGTACTTTACACCACTGTGTATTTCCCCAACAGACAAATATTTTAAATCGACTTCAATTCAAGAAGCACCAAACATGACCTAATGACTGTCGGGCTGTTAGTCCGGCAAAAGCGGGGAAGTGAGTTATTTCAC